TAGCACTTGGGAGGCAGAGAGAAAGATGGATGGATCTCTGAGTTTGAAGACAGTGTGGTCTACAGATGGAGTTCCAGGATAGGTTCCAAAGCTGTACAGAGAATGTCTGTCTTGAAAAAAAAAAGTCTCCATGTATTTATTTGGAGCTGGGTGGCAGGCCCCCAGAGAGCAAAAAGAGGAAACAAAAACAAAAACAACTTGTCAGAGTGGTGCAGTCTGCACTCAGGACTGCAGGCATGTTAGGTAAGTGCTGGTCTACTGAGCCCCACTTCGGAACTTGTACATTTGGTCACTTGAGTTAGCACTCTACCATTCACCTCACATTTGTCCATCCCACTGCAAGGGCTCGAGGGCAGTGAGCACAGAGGAGAAATAAACAAAAACAACAAAAACCACAGGAAGAAGCTGAGCCATGGTGGTCATGCCTTTGATCCCAGCACTCGGGAGGCAGAGGCAGGAGGATCTCTGTGAGTTCAAGGCCAGCCTGATCTACAGAGTGAATTCCAGGACAGTTAGGGCTACACAGAGAAACCCTGTCTCAGAGTGGGGAGGTGGGGGGCACCCAAAGAAACAAGATCAGAAGAAAAATCATCAAAAGACTCCCCCAGATGGGGGACATGGCTCAGCTAATGCATTTGTTGGGCTCCTACTGTTGTGATTAAAAAAAAAAAAAAAACTAACCAAAGGCAAGTTGGGGAGAAGAAGGTTTATTTGGTCCGTTTTTATTTATTTATTTATTTATTTTGAGAGACAGCTAAGGTAGTTGCTCACCTCAGGAACCAGGAGGCAATTACTGAATCAGAGGGAGGACAGGGCAGAAAGTTGCTGGCTTGCTGCTTCTAGCTTGCTCAGCTACCTTTCTTATACAGCCCAGGCCCACCTGCCTAAGGATGACACTGCCAGCCACTGGCTACTCAATTACCAACTAAGCAAATGCATCACAGATATGCCATTGGTCTATTCAATAGAGGGAATTCCTCAATTGAGGTTTCCTCTTTCCAAGTGACTCTAGATTGTGTCAACTTGACAAAAAATTGCTAGCACAGTGGTCAAGGTGGTTGCTGTCGTCCCTGAGAAAGTGAGTTTGATCCTTGCCTGTTGATGGAAGGTAAGACCTGATACCAACAAGTTGGCTTCTCACTTCCACTGGAGCACACTATTGTACACTCAAGTGCACATGCACTAAATAAAGACATGCAATCTACAACATTTCAAGGAAGACCTTTCTTTCATTGGGGGAGCTGGAGAAATCTTTGCAGTTGAAAGTAGTAACTGGAGTATAGCTAGCTATTCATGAAGGCAGACTAGGGGCACCAAAAAGCAAAAAGGGAGGGCATGTACAAACCAATGAGGGATGTGAGGGGTAGAGAGAGCAGCCTGATGACAGGGAAAGTTTGTTAAAGGCAGGAGGATGACACATGGGAACTGTAGTGTGCATGGGATAACAGAAAGTTTGTTAAAGGCAGGAGGATGACACATGGGAACTGTAGTGTGCATGGGATAACAGAAAGTTTGTTAAAGGCAGGAGGATGACACATGGGAACTGTAGTGTGCATGGGATAACAGAAAGTTTGTTAAAGGCAGGAGGATGACACATGGGAACTGTAGTGTGCATGGGATAACAGAAAGTGAGGCAGTGCCTTTTGGGGATGCTGCAGGCAGGAGAGTGGCAAATGGTACCTAATTATTATTATTATTATTTTAGCATTTATAGTGACCAAAGGGATGAATGACATGGACAGGGAAGATGAATGGAGCAGCTTATCACTATGGTCAGTGCCCTGTACTGAGCTGTTCACAGGTAGGGTGGCCTCAGCCCTGACGAAGGTGCACTTTTTTTGAGACTGGTTATTTCTGTATGATATACATGGGTTCACGTGTTCTGTTGTGCACTTGGGGGTCAGAGGTCCATGTCTGTCTGGTGTCTTTACCACTTCTTTGCTCTGTCTCACTAATCCTGGAGCTAGCTAATTCAGCTAGGTGGGCTGGCTAATGAGCCCCAAGGACTCTTGTCTCCACTCCACCAGCCCTGGGTTACAGATGTGCATTTCATGCCTAAATTTTCACATGCATGCAGATAAGCAGCCTGAGTTCAATCTCAGGCTCCCATGTAAAGATGGAAGGAGACAGTCCACTCTGAAGGGCTCTGAAATTAATACATGGTCTAGCCACATACAAAATGACAGAGACACATAGAGAGACACAGGCACTGAGAAAGACTGAGAAATAATAATCCAGTATCTGTCCACAAAGGCTGGGAAGGTGGCTCAGAAGTTAAAATCACTTGCTTCTCGGGCAAAGGACCCAAGTTCGATTCCCAGAACTCACATGAAGGCTCACAATCATCTGTAACTCTAGTTTCAGATGATTCAAACCCTCTTTTGATCTTCTAGGCACCAGGCACACGTTTGATGCACAGGCATACATACAGTTAGAACACTTTAAAAAAAGATCCATCCGCAAACAAACCTCAGGAAAACCTTACTAACCATGTTCGCCACTTGGTGGCGCTGTCAGAACAGACATGCCTTTTTTTTACAGCCCTTGTTCCCTGTGTTAGAAGTATTTTAGGATTGTCTGCTTGAGATCTCAAACGACCTACAAATTGATTCATTTACAAATTTTTTTCAAATTTCAGATTGTGGGTGAGATAGCTATTTAAAACCTGTTTACCGAGTTAAAAAAAAAAACAAATACCAACTCGTGTTAACTATTCTTTATTGATATGAAGGCAACAAATTCCTGTAGATACACAACGGATATGAAGAGGGAGGGGACCTGGGTGTTTGAGAGGTGTCTTTCACATCTTGCCTGGAATTTGGCTTTTTTTGTGTGTGGTACTGGGGTCTGACTCAGGGCCTCCTGATGGTAAGCCCTCAACACCGAGGCAATCTATTAAAAAACGTTCAGTAGCCTAGTGCTGTGGCCTTGTTTGTAATCCAGCTACATTAAAGTAGAGGCAGAAAGAAGCATCAAGTTCAAAGTCAGCCTAGGCATCATAGCAAAACCGCTTACTACAAAAATGAGGGCCGGTGAGCCGGGCGGTGGTGGTGCACACTTTTAATTCCAGCACTTGGGAGTTTGTGAGTTCGAAACCAACCAGCCTCCAAAGCCACAGGGAAAACCTGTCTTGAAAAACCAAAAAAAAAAAAAAAAAAAAAAAAAAGGGGTCGGTGAGATGGTTCAGCAGCTTGATGACATGAACCTGAGCCCAACGGCCTACAGCCCTACAGCTGGTGAGACCGGATCACTGCGAAAACTGCGCACGTGCTAGTCCTTCAGTCTAGTTTCCAGCAACGTACTCAGACCAGAGTAACATAGCGCATGCGCAGGGGTATGACCTGGAGCAATCAGAAGGGGCCAGCCCTGCTCCGTTGCATCACGTGATAACGGTCGCTCGGGAAAACCGCCATTGGGAGAAAAACAAAACAAAACATGAGTCTCGTCAGGTGATTACAGGTCTACCAATAGAGAAAACGAGACGAGAAACAACAACAACAAAAAAATTCGTGTCACGTGACAAAGCGGAGCCAGCCACTGTCATGTGACTGAGCAAACCCGTGAGAAGAGAGGCCAAGCATTGACGTCACGCAATCTGGAGCAGCTTCTGTGTCGATGTCACGTGACGCGACCCCGCCCCCTCGAGCGCATTTCGTCCCACCCACCCACTGGGGGCTGGGCCTAGGTCGATCGCCCACGTGATGCGGGGCGGGGCCCGGCCGATCACGTGGTCCCGCACCTCCCCGGCGCGCGCCCGCCCTCCGCTCGCCCCCGGCTCCCGGCTCCTCCTCCTCTTCTCGCCATTGCAGTTGGACTGGAGCAGCCCCGGAGAAAACCGCGTGGCCTTTTTTTTTTTCTTTGAGGGGGGTTGCGGAACTCCGGAAGGCTGGTGGCAGGAGGGCGGCGGCGGCTGAGGTCGAGGGGCCGGAACGCCGACAAGGTAAGCGGCAATGTGGCGTCCCCCGCCTCCACCCCTCCCCCTCGTCCGTTCTCCCACTTGTCAGCGCACGCAGAGCTGAGGAGACGCTAGTGACAAGGCCGTCGCCATCCTGCCGATCCTCCCCTCCGCTCGTATCTCCCACCCCTCAGCGTCTCGCTCCTTCTTTCTCCAGCCTCGCTCCCGCGCTTGGCCGTTACTCTCCCCCATTGTGCAGATGGAAACAAAATGGCGGCGCAGTGCCCCTGTGCGCGCGCATCCATTCTCCCCCTTCGCGGCCCCCTAGGCCAGAGCCTGGGAACCGCTGGTGGGGGTGCGCACGCTCTGTGATCCCCCTTCCCGGGGCCGCTTACTTTGCCCTAGGCCCGGCTTTTGTCTGATGCTTCGCCCTGCGGACGCGCGCACGTGTTGGAGCACACACCCCCTCACATCCAGAGCATCCTGGCGGGCGCATTAGACAAGATCCCCTTCCTTTACCCGCTTTCTGTCTTTGTTAAGCTACATCTTTGGCTTCCAGGAGCACGCCTGGTTCACCCCAGTTCCCAACGCGGGAAACATATCTCCTTTGTCCCGAGTACGGTCCTCTCCCTAGATGATCGTCTCGGGAAGCATTTATAGATTCATCAGGTCCTTAAAGCCCGAGTCTGTGTGTTTCCTCCAGATCGATACCCAAACTTAAGACCGTTTGAGTTTCCCTTTTTTTATATCAGGTGGTTTCCATTGATGGTGTTTCCCAGGTTGCTTAGGCTCTGCCTCCAGTCCCCAAAACGATGATGTTGGGTACTCTGATCTGCAGGGTTGACATGCTTGAAATCTTTGGATCGTAAAGTAGTTGAGTGATGGGAATTCACTTTAGGTTATTCATAATTCACATAAATTATTTGGAGTGTCTGTTCGATTCTCTCATTATGAATCAAAACTGGAGAAGAGTAAGCCATCTCTTAGTAAAATTGCTGGTAAGTTGTTGCTTAGGACACGTGGTGGATTAGCAAAGATGCTTCTTACTATCGGTGGTATGCTTTCTGTTTCAAAATTCTGTTCTATTTAAAATGTTCAGTAGGTGATGTCGTGTCCTCAGGAAAAGGTGAGGTGCTGTTCAAAGTTAGGGTTCATGTTTAGGACTTCCCCAGTGTCTTTCCCTAAGTTTTTTGTGGATGGACAAGGATTCTACTACTGTTATTTCGAATGTGGCCTCCTGGAGTAGCTACTGCAGCCACCAGGTAGGTATGTGAATGAAGTGTGTAGAACTAGAGCCTCCTTCACAGCCGCAAAGGGAGCAGGCCACTGGCAGGCGCTACTGCTCCTGGGCACTGGAGTTTATGAATGCGCTCTGCAGGTTGTGGATACTGACTGCAAGTCTACAGTCCAGCTAGATTGGAGGCTGGTGATTAGTGCCAGGTGGGCCTTGGCAGCACTGGGCGCTGTATCTGTCTCTCTGCTTCGAGTTTGGACCAGTCTGGGGATCCCCTCCTTATGGAGCTGGAAAGTGCTTGATGGTTTTCAATTCTTTTGATGGATGCCTGTAAGCAAAAGTTCTTTTGGCCCCTTTTAGTACTGTTTTCTAGATTGATGTTACTGTGAATAAATTGCTGTTCCTTATTCTGCTCAAATTCTTCTGGTCTCAACATCTTACAAGAAACTTGCTGTGTTTTTTTTTTTTTTTCTTTTTCTTTTTTGTTTGTTAGTTTCTGAGTCAGGGTTTCTCTGTGTAGCTCTGGTTGTCCTGGAACTGGTCTGTAGACCATGCTGGCCTTGAATCAGAAATTGCCTGCCTCTACCTCCTGAATGCTGGATTAACGGCATGTGCACCACCATCCAGCTTTTCTTTCTTTTTTGGAGCATTGTCTCACTATGTAGCCCAGGCTGGCCTTAAACTTGGAATCCCTTCTGCCTCAACCTTCTGAGGGCTCAGATTATATTTGTATGCCACTACAGCAGGTCCGGTGTGTGGCACACTGCCCCCCTCCTCCCTAGCAGTTTGCTCTATGGAGAAGGCTTCCAAGTATGGTCAGGAGTAAGGTATAAATGTGAGTTAGAAGCTTGTGTGGCCCCTTAACTCTTGGAGATCTGTCTGTCTCTGCTTATTGAGTGCTGGGATCAAAGGTGTGTGTCACTACATCTGGACTTCTCTCTGTTCTCTCTGTATCCAGATAAAGTGTCACACTGAAGTCCAGACTGGTCTCAAAGTACCTTAACGTGAGTGCTGGGATTGCAGGCTGTCAGTATGCCCCTTTTGACTTTCTTGTTACCTTTCTTGTTCTAGAGGAGTGATTTTTTTTTTTTTTTTTTTTTTTTTTTTTTTTTTTGGAGATAGGGTTTCTCTGTATTGCTTTGGAGGTTTTCCTGGAACTAGCTCTGTAGACCAAGCTGGCTTCAAACTCAAAGAGATCCACCTGCCTGCCTCTGCCTCCTGAGTGCTGGGATTAAAGGTGTGAGCCACCAATGCCTGGTTTAGAGGGATTCTTATCCTGAAGACATGTAGATTTCTTTATTCTTGCCTGTGCTGCTGCTTGTTTGGTGTTTTTGTTTTTTGAGACAGGGTTTCTCTGTTGTAGTCTTGCCTGTCCTGGAACTTGATCTGTACACAAGACTGTCCTCAAACTCACAGAGGTCCACCTGTCTTCTGCCTCCTGAGTGCTTGGATTAAAGGCGTGTGCTGCCCAGCTAACACACTGCTGCTACTTTTTTATTGTGATAGATTTACTTGCATAGAGTCAGGTTCTGCTACATATTGTCAGTTCTTTGATTACTTAAGCAATTCTAAAAGATGGGGAACCCCATTATTAAGTATATTAATATGTGTAGCCCTGACTGTCCTGGAACTGGCTCTGTAAACCAGGATAGCCTCAAATTCAGAGATCCATCTGCCTCTGCCTCCCAAGTGCTGGAACTAAAGGTGTGTGACACCACTGCCTTGTTTATGTTTTCTTTTTGAAACAGGGTCATGTATTATAATAAAGGTTAGCTTAGCTTCAGGTTTCTGGTGTAGACGTCACAAGTGATAGGACTGCCACCCTGTAGGTGATTGAGTGTTGTTTTAACAAAATCTCAGTTGTTCAGTTTTACCAATAAAGACTTGGGAGCATGATGGTCCAGTGAGAGCCTGCTAGCTCCCAGAGGCAGAGAAAGCACCTAGCTGACCTGCTCCTCAGCCAGCCTCCCAGAAGTCTCTCTCTGCTTCTCAAACCAAACTCTCAGATTGAATGTCCTTCCCTTCTACTTCCTGTGCGTCTCTCTAACCATGCTCCTGACTCAATCTTACCTCTTTTTTTTTTTTTTTTTTTTTTTTTCTGTCTTAATAATGCTATGTTCACTTCCTTTCAACTGGCTGCTTGATCTGCCTCTTGACCTGTGGTTGACTTTATTTAATCCTGTTTACAATATTTAAGCAGAAAGTTCTTAGTTTAAAGATGGGTGTTAAGGCTGAGCCACACTACAACCAGAAACAGGTTTTTCCAGTTAATGCAATCTCAGGGTTCACAGTATGATCAAATATCCTGCAACATTTCTCCTTTTTTGTCTACACAAAAAGGAAAGGTTTTATCCAGTAAAAACTATTTACAGTAATGAAGCTGTTTCTGCCAAACATTCCACAGTGTTCAGCTTGGTTATATTTGGCAGTCTTAGGATTAAGTATTTTTGATTTCAAAGTTCTGAAAATGTTCATGTCAGTTATGATCTCAGTGATTTGAATGTTCTCAGCAGTTTGTAGTTCAAAGCTGATCTTTGGGTGGTGTTTGTCAGCTTGGTGGCAGTCCAGGCGAGGTAGGACACAGCAGTCAACCCAAAGGTGTCCATTGTTTGTGCAGAATCTGGCAGAAGAGGTATGGAGCAGTTTTCCCAGTGTTTAGCATTACCACAAGGTGGATTAGTTGTTGCAGGGTCCCATCATCATCTTGAAGATCTCAAAGGTTATTGTTAGGAATGGTTACAGCTTATTGTAGAAAATTTAAACATTTAAAATGCATGTTCGACAGATGGTGGTAGTGTGTACTCTTTTAATCCCAGCACTTGGGTGGCAGAGGCAGGTGAATCTCTGTGAGTTTGAGGCCAGTCTGGTCTACAGAGTTACAGAGCGGGTTCCAAAGCTGCACAGAAACCCTGAAAAATCAAATAAATAAGTAGAATGTCATATTGAGCAGGTCTCTGAAAGGTTTGAGGACCACGTCTATTAAGTACATCTGAAGCACACAAACTTAGTTCCTAGTTACCTGCTTCAGACTCAAACCCGAACATGCATAGGAAGCCAGATGAAGCCTAATTCAAGAATACTTTAGTACTCTCTGTGACTATTAGTATCACAATGGCAAGTTTATATATACATAATAATCTTACAGACTTTGAGGTAATATTACCTTAAGTTTTAGAGAGTTGAATGAGAACAACGATTATAATGAGATTAGTGGCAATAGAATAGTTCTTTATTTTTTGTTTTCTTCTGTCCCATATCAGGTTGCTCTCCTGATAGGAGACAGATTTTAGATTTTAATAAGTAGGCGAGAGCCATGCTCCCACCCCAAAGCCAGTTTTAATTTTTTTTGGAAGACATATTTCCTAAGTATACTGTGTTCTGTCTGCACACTAGAAGAGGGCACCAGATCTCATATTACAGATAGTTGTGAGCTACCATGTTGTTGCTGGAAATTGAACTCGGGGCCTCTGGAAGAGCAGCCATCTCCAGGCCCCACCAACTTTATTTTTAAATGAATTGGGACCACATAAGACCATTTGCCATTCATGTCTGTAGAGGGCAGCAGCGGCAAGCATTTGGAAACTGCCTTGGGTGGACCAGCCACATGGTGGGAAAAAGGAATGCCCTCCTGGGCAGTCCTGCCCCGGCCTGGGTGGTTGTCTGGTGGGAAGGGTTAGCCACCCAAGCGAGATGGTGGAGTTGGTGCCAGTGCTAGCTAGACTGGTGCTACCAGCCAGGATTTAAAGCCAGTTAGCTGGAGGTGGGCGGTGCCATTTGGCCATTTTACTTTTTCTTGGGACATTTTCTCTTGATAACCTGTCCTCCTCCTTCAGATGCTCACTTTTCCAGTGGTCTCTGGATTCCTTAGTTGGAGGCTTTTATTCTCCTGGAAAAAGAAAAGCAAGACCTTGCCCCAACCTAACTCTGGAGGGGTTCCTTTTTTCCCCACAGGTTATAGCTACTCTAGGGAAAAAGTATCTTTCGTTTAAAAAAAGTCTTTTGAAATTTCGAAATGAAATATTCCCTTATTATGTGTGGATAAATATACCTATATTCCCATTTCTATTTATATATAAATTCAAGACTTAAGTATAATAGATTTTAGAGCACAAAAGACATTCACTTAGAATTTCAGCCTGCCTTTAGAAAGTGGCTTTTAAATTTAAATCATTCTTTCTCTCTCTCTCTCTCTCTCTCTCTCTCTCTCTCTCTCTTTTTTTTTTTTTTTTTTGTGAGACAAGATTTCTCTGTGAAACCGTCCTGGCTGTGTTGGAACTCACTCTGTAGAAAAGGCTGGCCTTGAACTCACAGAGATCCGCCTGCCTCTGCCTCCCAAGAGCTGGGATTAAAGGTGGGAACCACTACCTGGCTATGAATTCCTTATGGTAATTATTCTCGTGGGCTTGTCTTGGTTTAAATTGGTTCTTCATTTCCCCTTTTTAGTGTTAGGGGAAAACTTTCAAGTTTTTTGAATGTGTAATTTATCATTCTTGTTGATTGATTCTGAATTTGTTCCCTGGAAATATTTAATAGTCTAGTTTTAACTTGATGCCAATTTGCCAACTACTTCATTATTTTCAGACATTTTGTTTGTCTTCCCTGTATGTGCTACATAAAATCTGATGTCTTTGCTAAGCCTTGCTATATTTTGCCATTTCCATTCATGCTTCCTTCCCATGGCCAGGTATATTTGCCATTTATCTGCCCGTTAGTGTTCTCCATTTTCATGCCCATACCATTGTGCATGTACCATTGTAAGGAGTACGGTTTTCTGCCCGCCGCCTGGTCTTGTCCCCACGCTGCTCCAGCCCCAATTAACACACCGAGACTCTGTATTTGATATTATGCTGTTGGGCAGTTACTAGTTTCTTATCGGCTAGCTCTGTCTTAAT